CAAGTACAGGACTTGTGTCTTGGCCCACTTGCATTTCTTTGCATTAATCTTGAAGTTAGCTTCCTTGGGCTTCTCCAAGACCTGCCTCAGATGATCCTCATGCTCCTGTAGGGTCTTGCTAAAAACTAGAATATCGTCCAAGTACACTACAAGGAATCTATCCAACCAAGGCCTAAATAAATCATTCATACATCGCTGGAATGTCGTTGGCGCATTGGTTAATCCAAAGGGCATAATTATAAACTCGTAGTGTCCATATCTCGTGCGGAAAGTCGTTTTGTACTGGTCATTATGATGAACTTCTATCTGATCATAACCAGATTTCAAGTCTAACTTGTAAAAATACTTGCAGCCCTCCACCCGATATAAAAGATTATCTATATGGGGCAGTGGTTCTGCATTCTTTATTGTGACGAGGTTGAGACTCAACCTGCTTAGTTAATCCTCTGGATCCTAGAGCAATCAATGTTGGCAGGGTTTTCTCTGCTCCAGTCTGTATTTTCATTATGTATATGGGACGTTGGACCCGCTTTCCAGCCCGTGACGCTCCCCACCAATAGATGGAGCCTCCGCCCCGGTGCTAGCGGTGTTTGCTCTTACCAGCACCTCTAGCAGTGGAGAGGGTTGTTTTGAAGGGAAAAAAAAATTAAAAAAATAAAAAAAAATTCTATAGTCTATGCACATTCTAAGCTCTCACTCCTTCTTGGGGATAAAAAGAACAGGTGCTCAAAATGGAGATGAATTGGGCCTAATCCAACCCTTCTCGAGGAGCTCCTCCAACCGCTTGCGCAACTCCTTTAACTCCCTTGGGGACATTCTGTATATGGCTCCCTTAGGAGTCCTACTGCCGGGTTTCATCTTTATGCGACGCTAGATCGGCCTCGACACTACTCCTGTAGGCTACTTAGTTAAGTCTATGTGTACTCCTCCAACGGTTTAGCAATAGCAGGATCTATGGGTTTCTCTTCTTTAGGTTCAGTGACAGGCTTGACATAGGCTACAAAAACGTGTTATTCTCATTGCTCCTTTTTAACCAAACGTGCAAACGCGGGAGCACTGAGACAGCAATGTGCCGACTATTTTTAACATGTGTGACCCAGGAATGACCATGCATAGATTACCTCTATTTGTTTGGTCTGTGCTAATTACAACTTTTTTGCTTTTATTGTCACTTCCAGTATTAGCACGTGCTATTACTATGCTATTAACTGATAGAAATTTTAATACCAGGGAGTTGTCCACTCTTGACAAATGAAACAAACGCGCATTTTTTACTTCGCTTGATGGACTAGAAAGCCTACACTCGTGCTCTCTCAAGTGGAGTGTGGCCCCTGCTGCCTCTCCCTAGTCCATTCCTGGGACCATGTCGAAAGGAAGGCCATCCTCTACGAGGAGAGTCGGGGAATGAAGAACTTTCTTCACCTTCCCATCCTTCTCTATGCGAAAGTACATTTGAACCCCCTCTACGTAATCCTCGAGTCGCATATTGCGATTGTTTGTGAGGATACTGACTCTAGGGTTCTCTAACTTTTGGACTTTGACATTCAATTTCAGCTTTTGCAACACTTTTCTACTGATATAGGTGCGGGTGGCCCCACTGTCTATAAGGGCCCCTACTCTACCTCTAAAGAGTTTTACATCCACTAAAACTAGTTATCCTTTCGCGTCCTTCTTCATCTTGGCCCAAACGGGCATCCTCTCCTTCAATTCTTCAGTCACGCCTGTGAGGGAAGTGCCTAAAGAGTCTCTAATACAAGCACTTTCTGGATAGAGATCTAGGCACTGGCCAGCAACCTCTGCCATAGACACGTGGTTTGGGAGTATCTATGTGGCGCGCACACTCTTCTTCGTTGGGTATAGGGATAGGGGCCGTTGCGACCCCTACCGGCAGGTGCCTTTTGCTGCCTGTGCAACAAACTGGGCTTCTCTATATTGAGGGCAGTACTTTATAATGTGAATCGGATCACCGGTGGCAGACCAGGGTGTCATCCATCCCTCCTAGGTGAACGATTGTAACGAGAGCGGTTTTGCAGGGCACCTTGACCCCTACCTCTCGCTTGGCGGCCTCCTCCAAGTGGTCAAGGACCTGGGAACATCCAGATGGAAACCTGACCCCCTTGGTCAGTAACCCAGCGAGCTTCATAAGTTCGGGCATGACACGATAGAATAGGTTGACTAACTGGGTCTCAGTGACCCCATGATCAAGGATAGTGACCAACTCGTCCATAACACCCTTGAGTGCCCTGACACTCCTCCACTGGAGGGAATGAATGGTCTGCAGTTTGTCAGAAGCTTTAACGCTTCGTGTGACATCTGCAAACCTTTCGCACAATAATTTGAAAAACTCACTGAGAGGGGTGATTGTAGAATAGGCAACCATATCGTTATATCACTTAGCAGCGAGACAAAGCGACCTGGCGAAGCTCGCTGCTTCGTCTTTGAGTGCATGGAAGGCTATGAGCACATGTTCGTCGGGCGACATTTTTGAAGATGCACGTATCGAAGTTCTCCTCCTTCTTTCCACTATAGGAATCAGGGAACTTCACCTTGGCAGACTTTCTATGGGGATGAACTTCCTCCTTTCTTGGAGGTGCTAGTTTAGCACTTTCTATAGCTTTTGTGCAGAATCGCTCTGTGCTCTCCATCCTTGTTTTAACTTTTGTGCCCACGTGAATGATCATTTCACGTGCGAACTCTCTGAATCCTAGACGTATGGACCACAACGTTACATCCTGGCTTCTTGCAAATTCGTATTGCTCATCCCTGACTTTGGCCACAAGTTCAATATTCCTCGCCATCACTTCCATCTTCGCCTGAACATCTGCTTGCTGCTCTAGCTGTGCTCTTTGCTCCTTCACAGCCTCTAACTCCTTCGCCACCTAACTGGCTCCATCTGTTGGTGGGGAGCAGCACCTGCTGGAAAGCAGGTCTAGCGTCCCTTGAATACATCTTTGTTCAGAGAGAATGACTGAGAAAAGGCCTGCCAGCATTGATTGTTCTGGTGTCCAGAGGATTAACTGTGCAGAATATTGAGCAATAAGGGAAACAAATTTCTATCATCTGGCGCTTTAAAGGATCCTCTTCGGCCTCCAACTCCTTAACAACGTCCTCTTGTTCTGCCCCGGGAACATACAACATCGCCTCCTCTTCTTCTTCCAAGGACAGGTTGGTTACCCACTTAGAGACCTTCCTCTCCAACCACGGGTCTCCTTTCGTGCCACTAGATTCCCCTCTCTCTCTCTGGTCATCCTTCTTAACAGGGGAACCTCCTCTTCTACCCTTTTCTTCTTCTACTTCTTCCACCGCTTTCATTTTTTCTTCCTCCTCTTTTTTCATCCTTTCTAGCTCCTCCTCCAACTTCTTTATTTTTGCGGCCTGCTCCTGCAACAAGGTCAATTTCTTGGCCTGCTTCACCACTTCCTTCTTTTCTTTCTTGGCCTTATGCTTGGCCATAATTCTCGCAGCCTCCTCCTCTTGCTCCTTGGTGTAGGGAGTGGTGCCAGTACCACCCCTGGTCTCTACCCTACACGTGAAGGTGTTCCAGAAACCTAACGGAAAGAGGAGACGCCAGAGGGTCCCCAAGAGGGAGAATCCCACGAGCAGACCGTACATAGGGTAGTCGTCCATGGTGGTAGGTGCATGACAAGACTGTCCCACTCCTCACCACTTAGACCTACCCACTCGACTGACTGACTAACTGCCTAAGGGTTACCCTTCGATCCAGCCAGGTTACCACGGCCAACGAAAGCTTTGGCCACGACTGTCCTTTAGAAACTAGACCCAGATGCCCAGCACCTGTGGTCAATCCCACCTGCCTTTCTCTCCGGTACAGAACCCTGTCAACTATGGTCACTAGCCTAGACCTATTGCTAAGGCTGTCACTATAGGATTTCAATGTTGATAAGGAGGCATTTAAGGAGATCCCCCGTAACTCCTCAAGAATTATTTAACGTCGCAAACAAGACAACGCGATCAGCAAGTCCTCTCAAGACTTAGACAGTTTGTTGTGCAGGCCACAACTCGGATTTTGGGCCTACGATGCCACACTGAGCAGCCCGCCGGTCAGTACCGGTTCTTGGGAAGGTTTGTCCTCCGGGTCAGTTAGTCGTCAGACACGGCCTTTAGCCCTACTCAGCCTGTGTGGGTTTGGTCAACAAATCTCTACTACCTCATACACAGAGTTCCTATCACTTGGACATAAGAGACATACAGACTCAGCAAGTACTATGCGGTGAGTGCACATCCATAGGGCGAGTGGATAGGCTGAGGGCTTGGCGAGAATATACCAACTCCATCTTGGTCAATTTCGCGGTCAGCAACCCTGGTCAACGTCTTGGTCAACGCTTGGTCAACGCCATTCAAACCCCCAGTCAGCCCTCTGGTCAACCTCGATCAACGCCTTGGTCAACGCCTGAGTCGACACCCAAGTCAACTTCGGTAAACCCGTTGGTTAATGCCTTGGTCAACCCTTGACTCGGCTATGGCTGCCGACACTTTCTTTTTCACCAACCCTCGCTTCTCTTTCTCCCTCCTTTGTTCTTCCTCGCTTCTTCTCTCTTCACTCAGGCTATGTCTTCCTTCTTCTTCGTTGTCCCTGCTTCTTGTTTTTATGGCTGCCTTTTTCTTCCTTCTACCACACAACAATCTTCAATCGCTCCTCTCTCTCTCTCTCTCTCTCTCTCTCTCTCTCTCTCTCTCTCTCTCTCTCTCTCTCTCTCTCCGTCGTTGTCTTCTTTCTAGGTACATGACACCTTCTCCCGCAGCGCAGCTATGGCGGACCTTCCTCCTTCACTGGCGCAACTCCAACTATGACGCCCAATCTGTGTCTCCTTCCTACTGGCAACGACGATGGCACATGGTATAGTGGGAACCAGCTCTTATACCAATGCAAGCAGACTCGCTTTCTTTTTCACTTCGCACACATACAAATAGATATCAATTCACACTGGCGCCAAACGCCCACTTAAAGCTCAGAGATATGGAAACTGAGAACATAGTTCAGATGCAAAATCGCTTCATTAGGCTATGGCGCATCAGCGCCTATACATCCCAACTCTCGACACTGTGTGCAATCCCATTGTTCGCACATACTCGACTTTGGATCACCATGGATATCCCACACGCTTCCCTGTATTACACACACACACTAAAGCCTATCTTCACCTACAACGACTATGGCCGCTCAACTACTACTGACTATGGCTATGTTATCTTCCTTCAGCCCACTTCGACTTCGGACAACCTGCAGACCACCACCTACAAGACGTTGGGGCAGCGCTTCCGCATGGCTTACGCAGCAAATGAATTTATTTATTTTCTTAAAAGAGTTCACCATGGTTAGATGCATCGTGGACTGTAGCATGATTGTAAGCTATAGGGGCAATTTAATTAATTTAGGTGGAGTGAAGGCATCACCCTGGAGTTGTATAGAGACAGGGAGAAGGTCTGTTGCATCCATGTGCTTAATTTGAACAGGAAGAGAACAACATTGCATCCATGTGCTTGATTTGAACGGGGAGAGAATAACGCTGCAACCCTGTATTTTATTTGAACAAGGACAAATAGTGTTACACCCGGGTTCACTATGTGAACTAGGAGTGAATGATGTGATACCCCTATGCCTGTTAGCTGGTTGCTTTGTAGTTGAGATGAAGTGTGGACAACAGTCCAAGTGTGGGTTGGCCAGTGTGTAGACATCCATTACGCGGCTCCAATTAAATTCCTTGTTTGACCATGATTCAGTGTGATCTTGAGAGATATACAATTTGACTATTTGATGTTATAAGGTTGTGGCAAGATTGGCCACTTCATTATGAGTCAAGAAGCGCAAACTGACGGTCTTGGGTGAAGGTCACACTCACTTCCAGTCTCGCTGCCCAATTTGTTTAATTCGAAAATTATTAAGTTTTTTTTTTTTTTTTCCCGGTGCGATTGACCGCTTGATTACAACATAAGCGGTACAACTGGTGGTCCTAAGTAAAGGCAGCACGCTGATCACAGACACATCTATTTTATTTCATTTTGTTTTATGTTTCGACGTAGAAACTAAGTTATTAGTTGAGTGAGTGACCATGACAACCAACAAGTGGCGCACCAACCCTATGTGAGGGTCACATATGATCAGGGTGCCGCTAATGCAAAGGAGGGCATTAAGTTAACTTTTTTAGTTATTTATTTTTGGGTATGTGATCAGCCGTTGTCTGGCTAATCAGTGTTAGCTCATCAACGACACACTTACCATAAGTAAAGGCCTAGTGCAGGCTGCAGCCCTGTGCTCTATTCGAGCATGGACAACGTAGAGTTGTACGCCATGTTCTATTCGAATATGGGTAGTGCATAGCTGCACCCTGACTATAGTACAGGCGATGCACACAGAGAGATGCAGTTCTGGAAATGACACCTGTGCTGAAAATCTTGTTGGGAGATGTAAGCGGCAACTAGTATATAGATCTCACATCTCTCCAGGGGAAGTTGAACCGTCATGGATTATTGCGTTGAATTACTTTCTTGTCGAGGTTACCAGGTGTCGGATGAGGAGACATCTCCCCCAAACGTCTCCGGGAGACGGTCAAGGGGGAGTTGTCAAAAAAATCGGACAACAAAATTTTTGAAAAAAAAAAAAAAAAAAGGGGGGGGGGGTGCGCACTGCCGGGGGACCCCCCAGAAAAAAATAGGGGCTATTCTGACCAGAAACAAAACAAAAAAAGAAACAGGCTTTGGGGTGTGTGGAAGGGTGGGGTTGGGTGGTTAGGTGGTTGGGTGGCTAGGTGTTGCTGTTGTTGTTATTGTTGTTGTTATCTTTGATCCGATCAATCAATCAATCAATCAATCAATCAATCAAACGATCGATCGAGAATCCCGTCGAATCGATTGATTGATTGATTGATTGATTGGTTGATTGAGTGATCGGACGAAAAAAAAAAAAAAAAAAAACTTTCCGTTGTCGTGGCCTCCTTCTCCTCCACCTCCTCATCCTCCTCCATCGTCCGGCCGTCCTCCTCTTCTTCCTTCTCCATTTCTTTCTCATCCCCTTCCTTGTCGTCATCGTACTCCTCCTCCTCCTCCTTGTCATCCTCCTCCTCCTCCAACTCCTCCTCCTCCTCCTCCTCCTCCTCTTCTTCTTCTTCCTCTAAGTTATCTCTCCCCTGCATTGCCGTGGCCTCCTCCTCGACCTCTACTTTGTCCTCCTCCTCCACACCCTTTTCTTCTACATCTTCCACCTCCTCCTTCTTCTCCATCGTCGGGCCCTCCACCTCCTCCTCCTTCTCCTCCTCTTCTTCTTCTTCCTCCTCGCCGTCGTTGTCCTCCTCCTCCTCCTCCTCCTTCTCCTCCTCCTCTTCGCCCTCTTCTTCTTCGTCCTCCTCCTCCTCCTCATCCTCTGCCTCCTCCACCATCGGGGCCTCCTCCTCTACTCGAGGTTCTCCGCCTCCTCCGCCTCCTCCTTCGCCTCCTCCTCCTCCTCCTCTGCCTCCTCCTCGTCGACGTTCTCCGACACATCGGCGCCAATCCGATGGCTGCCTCCTAGACGTTTTTTTTTTTTTTTTTTTTTCCCTTTTTGTTGTTATCGTGCAGTAACCCGTGTTTTGCAGCAGTTTGGGCCTTCGAAACGGAGCCCAGACGACGCAGACCAAACTCGGCCTGCGCCAGGCAGTGTGACCGTACATTGCTCGTGGAAAAATCAATAATCTAAGTCAACTGTCAGGTCAAAGGTACCCCGCCCAGGTCCTTGGTCGGATACACTCACTTGTTGTGCGCAGGTACCCAGACAGCATCAACGCTAGAAGGAATTTGGTTTCAGGCCAATCTGAATCATTATTTGCATTGAGATGTGGACGGCTGAGGGATGCAGCATCCGGGGTCCAAACCCCGCGTCAACGCTACATAAGCGCTGATTTTCCGACTTTGACATTCATTCAATCTTGCGCCAATGCGGACTTCACGCATTGACGACATGACGCTGGCTTGACGCTGCGGCGCTGGTGGCGCTAGCTTTGTGCTGGCATTTGGGAGATTACGGCGACGCATTGATTGCTCCGCATGGTGGTTGGCTGGCTATTGTCTTCAAGGCATGCTGACGTGGCAGCTGCCACGCGTTGCTGCTGACGTGGCCGCTGCCACGTGTTCTATCTTCTAACGTGGCCGAGCTACGTGACCGGCACTGCTGTTCTGATTCATCGTCACTCGGGAGGAGATAATGACTGTGGGATGATTGTGGACATGTACCTGGTTATCTTGAGGTCGACATCGCTCCAGTACGCTGATGAGATTCTGATCGACGTGCCATGTGCCACACTGGAATAGAACTTTAGATGTGTGTTCAGACTATTGATTATCTGAGGTGGTGATCGAGGAGGGAGCCCGAAGGAGGCGTGGGCCTTGTTCTTTATTCCTCTCCTTTGTCTAATCTCCCTCCTTTCTTCTTCGTCTGTGTATGATTATCCCATCTCATTCTATATGGACGCGATTCTGATTATTGATAATCATCAGCGGGTTGACATTCATCTGGCTTGCATTGTTGACAAGTGTCTTCACGATCTGGGTCCATTGTTGTTGTTGTTGTTGTTGTTGTTGTTGTTGTTGTTGTTGTTGTCGTCTTTGATCCGATCAATCAATCAATCAATCAATCAATCAATCAATCAATCAATCAATCAACCGATCGATCGAGAATCCTGTCGAATCGTTTGATTCGGTAGGATGTTGATATGTCAAGACCCTATCGAATCAATCGATTCGACGGGATCCTCGATCGATAGTTTGATTGACTGATTGATTGATTGATTGATTGATTGATTGATTGATTGATCGGACCAAATATAAGAAAAGAAGAAGAAAAAAAAACGGGTGGAGGAGGGGTAGTAGGAGGAGGAAAAAGAAGAGGGCGAGGAGGAGGAGGAGGAGTAAGAGGAGAAGGACGACAAGGAGAAGTATGAGGATGATGAAGAAAAAGGAGGAAGAAGAGGTGGAGGAACAAGAGAATGCGGCGATGGAGGAGGAGGAGGGAGAGAAGGAGGAAGAAGAAGACGAAGAGGAGGAGGAGAAGCAAAACGAAGAAGAGGAGGAGGAGGAGGAGGAGGAGAATGGCGATGCGCAAAAGGAAGAGGAGCACGAAAGGGATGATGAGAAGGAGGAGCCCATGACGATGGAAAAGGTGGAGGAAGATGACTTAGAGGATGAAGAAGAAGAAGATGAGGAGAGAAGGAGGAGAGGGAGGAGGAGGAGGAGAAGGAGAAGGAAGAGGAAGAAGTAGAAGCGGAGGAAGACGACGACGAGGAGCAGAAAAAGGAGGAGGAGGAAGAGGAGGAGGAAGAAGAGGAGGAAGAGGAAGAGGAGGGGGAGGAGGAGGAGGAGGAGAAGGAGGGGAAGGAGGAGGAAGAAGAGGAGGAGGAAGACAAAGAGGAGGAAGAGGAGGAGGAGGAGGAGGACGAGGATGACGATGACGAGGAGGAAGACGAAGAAGAGGAGGAGGAGGAAAACGAGGAGGAGGAAAACGAGGAGGAGGAGGAGAAGGAGAAGGAGGAAGAAGAGGAAGAAGAAGAAGAAGAGGAGGAGGAGGAAAACGAGGAGGAGGAGGAGGAGGAGGAGGAGGAGGANGAGGAGGAGGAGGAGGAGGAGGAGGAGGAGGAGGAGGAGGAGGAGGAGGAGGAGGAGGAGGAGGAGGAGGAGGAGGAGGAGGAAGAAGAGGAGGAGGAAGAAGAGGAGGAGGAGGAGTACGAGGAGGACGAGGAGGAAGAAGAAGAAGAGGAGGAGGAGGAGGAGGACAATGACGAGGAGGAGGAGGAGGAGGAGGCGGAGGAGGAGGAAGAAAACGAGGAGGAAGAAGAGGAGGAAGAAGAGGGGGAGGAAGAAGAAGAGGAGGAGGAAGGAGAGGAGGAGGAGGTGGAGGAGGAGAAGGACAAAGAGGAGGAAGAGGAGGATGAGGAGGAAGAATAGGATGAGGAGCAAGAGGAGGAGGAGAGGGAAAGGAGGAGGAGGAGGAGGAGGTGGACGAAGGGAAGCTGGCTCACCTGGTGTGGGCTGGCAATGGCGCATGGGGTTGCGGTCGTCGACGTCGGAGTTCGCCAATTGCAACACCGAACTCCGGTGCAAGTGCGGGCGGCAAGACGCGCGGGGGAGAACGGCAGGGCCCCCATTTTCAAATTTCAAAATTGCTCGATTTGGGCCGTCGATCTCGCAGATCTAACGGCCCAGATCAGACCATTTTGTTTTCATTTTTGGAGGCCGTACCGACCTCCAACAAATCTTCCCGTCCGCTCCCCCGGTTGGCCTGTCCCCTTTCTCCACCACTCCGCCGCCCGAGACCCTGTCCTGGACCCACCCTATGTTTTTTCACGATCGGACGTAGGGCCCCTGACTGACGACTGACCGGTTGTCCGATCGGACAATCCCGGACGGTCAGGGGGGTCCCGAACGTCCAATCAGGTAACGTTGTTTTTTTTTTAATTGTTTTAATTGTTTATTTTATTTCATTTTGCTGCAAGGTGATAAAACGGACTCTGCTAAGTTTGAACAGAAGGTGATTGGGCCAATACCCCGTGCAGTAATTGAACGTGCAGTTATCAGGCCAATACCCGCACATTATTTAAACGAGTGATGCCCAAAACCAGTGTCACGGTGCAGAATACGAGTGCTCGGTGTTCGCTACTCGTTTTTCGAGTATTTACCTTGGAACCGCTTGACCCTGAGTAAAGACCAGCTATAACAGCGTGTTGTCGAGCCCTTTTGGATGAACTCATTTTATTTATTAGTTGCTTATTTACAAAATTCCACCATGATTAGGTGCGGCGCGAACTGTAATTTGATTGTGAGTCACGGGGGCAACACAGGGCTGCACCTGTGTTCTATTTGAACAAAAGTGACGTGGACTGCACCCTGTGTCGTATCGGAAGAGGAACGACAGTAGTTGCACCCCTGTGCAACGTTTGAACAGAGGAACGTATGGATTGTACTCCTAAGTAGTGTTTGAACGGGGGATAACATGTTACCGTACTCCCTACAGTATACAAGTTGGTGGAGTGTACCCCTACTCCGCATACAAGTTGTCTGCGGATTAAGCCCTCGAGCAGTATCCGGGCAGAGACTGGACTCTTATTCCACCCATATTCAGGTTGTGTTCCTATATAGCATCCAAGTGAGAACAACACCATGTGTATAATTCTGTAAGCGAGTTCTGGTGGGAATCCAAATGGATAATGAGATGGGAATCCGGTAAAGCTTCGGATCAGTGAGAGGTAGTCTCTGGGTAGTCTGTGGGCAGAGATTACTTTTCGGTGGACCCTGCTCGCATACTAGCGAGGACTGCGCTCAATGATATTTCTGCTCCATGAACGAACCAAAGTCAAGTTCTTTGTCCCCCCAACCAGTGTGATAGGCGACCGAAGGCACTCAACCTAGTCTGCTACAGATTCGGGACTTGACTAAGAGCTCAAACCATAACTTATACAAACCGGTTCTAGATGAACTGAACAGAACCCTGCAGAACCGAGACAAGTCGCAGAGAGAGGATATAAATTTAAGAGGCTTCTGAACAGCTCCTGTTCTTGACACTATTCTTAAAACCTGAATGAACAGAAACTCTCGCTATTGAACAAGTCTGATTCTCTGCTTTGGTTTTCAACCAGTCTGGCTTCCATGCCATCATTTCCAATTGTGTGAGAAGGTTAACAATAGTCGTATTTTTCATCACCACTTCATGACACCCTTCACCAGTTCAGGATGCAGCCTGCCTAAACAAGTGGTTTTTAGGGTCTTCAGACCTTTCACCACTTCGGGACCATTCAAGTATGAAAATCCTGAATGGTCATGAAGTGGTGAAAGCTCCAAAGACCCTGAAAACCACTTGTTTAAGCAGGTTGCATCCTCAAGTGGTGAAGGGTGGTTTTCATGGTCTTCGGACCTTTCACCACTTCATGACCATTCAAGATTTTCAGACTGCCAAAAACTCGCACTTGACCACTTCAGGATACTCTTCACCACTTCAGGATGCAGTCTGCTTAAACATGTGGTTTTCAGGGTCTTCGGACCTTTCACCACTTCAGGACCATTCATGATTTTCAGACTGCCAAAAACTCTCACTTCATAATTTTCATTCCTGAATTTTCAGCTACCCGATAACCGCTTGTGCCAATTGTGCAAGTACTGTTTGGAAAATTCAAAAAGCAATACAGTCTTCTTAGGAAATTCATAGAAATTCCTAAGACGTCAGTAAACCTCCTTTAAGTGCAGTCATATTGTATTTGATGTAATGTGCTAATAAGCAAGTGCATCCTACTCATAGTGAATTCGACGAAACTCTATGTCAGTTCACCGCTCAACAAAGTTCAGTCGAACTCTTAATTCAGGCACTGTGTAGTATCTGGGGTACTGCGTTCAGTGAGTTCGGCCGCATGCAGTAAATAAGACATAAGTTGAATGAGAATAGATCAAGAGCAGGGGAAAACAGACTGAAGAAAGTACTCAGTGATGAATACATGATGCAATATACGTGGGATCAGACTTAGTGCAGAAAGCAGGACACTGTCTATGTGAGAACGGATTCAACGCAGGGAGACAAATTTCCTTGTGAAGGAAAATCATAGCCGTAGATCAGCTCTATCACGGTACCCAGTTGTTGTTTAACTCTTTCATCTTTGTAGCTCAATTTTATTTTAGTAAGTTCAACTCAAACTCAGAAAAAAAATCCAAATCAACTCTTTAGTGAGTTTCGGCAAAGTCTAGACAAGTTTTCAGTGAATTTTTCGCAAGAGATCAGATTTGCTCAATATTGATTTCTCAGTACAAAGTTCGGATAAGTTTTCAGCGACTTTTCAACAGAAAGTTCAGAGTCAATAAAATCCATTTTCATATAGTTTCAGACTCACTGATAAAAGTTTGATTGCAACAAGTTTTTTACATGATTAGTGAATCCAGTCCCCTGTCAGTGAACTCAGTTGCAACTTCGTTGGATTCCTCCCAAATTCTATTTTATTCAGTTTAGTGAGTTCAATTTCGTCTAAGAAAGTTCAGTTCAGTTTGATGACTTTATTTCAGACCTTGTGAAAAAAATGCAATCTCAACTAATTCATATTCAATTCAGTGAATCCAACTCGATCTTTGTAATCCCGAATCAGTCTCAGCGAACTTCGCTCAGTTTCCAGTGAGTTCAACCCAGTGTTGGCGTAACTCGGATCAACTTAAGTGGATTCCGTTTTCAGTTTCAGTAAGTCCGGACTCAGTGGACTCAATCATGGCCTTAGTTTACTCTCTGCAAATTCTATTGTGAGGGGACATAATGTTGGTCACAACGGGTAGTCTTGATGACGGCAGCGGTGGTACTAGCCATAGCGTATGGTCCTGGTGGTAGCAGCGATGACGCTGGTCACAACGGACAGTTCCGGTGACAGCAACGATAATGCTAGCTACAACGGGAGATTCCGGTGGTAGAAGCAACGATGTTGGTCACAACATGTAACTCTCGGTAACAGTAACAATATTGTTAGTCATAACGGTTTTTTCAGGTGAAAGAAAGGACAACGCAGTGAGTGTCATTGGTATTCAGTAAGGCCGATCATGTGATAAGTAAGTAGTCTCAAGATCAGTAATTATTTTAGGGACAACAGACTCAAGACAAGATTTTTTTGAGGATGACATATATCTCAAACAGAGCAGACTCATGACTTGAGCACAGTCATGAGATACCGGCCGCAATGGACCTTCTCTCAAGTACATGTCAACACTGTGCAAACTCGCTCAAGGATCATTGGACAACATATTAACCATTGTCTGATCTCCGAGTATGACATGATCTTCTGAGAGGAGAGAGATAGAGCTATAGTGACAATGGTTCTATGTTCGTATGTTCGTTTGTGGACTTGATGCGATAAAGAGGTATCCTCTCCTCTTGCATGATCATCGATCTTATCTTTGCCTTGAGTTAGTTAGTCTTTGTTTGTTCTGTTTAGCATTGCTTGATGATTGTGTTTCTTGGTGATTTTGTCACAGTTATCAAAATTTGTAAATTGGGGTCTTTGTCGGTCCCTGGTCTCGCTATTGAACAAGTCTCATTCGCAACTTTGGTTTTCAACCAGTCTAGCTTGCATGCCATCATTTCCAATTATGCAAGTACTGTTTGGCAAATTCAAAAAGCAATACAGTCTTCTTTGGAAATTCATGGAAATCCCTAAGACGTCAGTAAACCTCCTTCGAGTGCAGTCAGATTGCATAGGATGTAATGTGCTCATAAGCAAGTGCATCCTACTCATAGCGAACTCGGCGACATCCTATGTCAGTTCACTGCTCAACAGAGTTCAGTCTAACTCTTAATTCAAACAATGCACTGTATCCGGGGTATTGTTATGCAGTAAATGTGACATAAGTTGAAAGAGAATAGATCAAGAGCAGGTGAAAACAGACTCAAGAAAGTACTTAGTGTCGAATACAGGATGCAATATATTTGGGATCAGACTCGGTGCAGAAAGCAAGACACTGTCTACGTGAGAAAGGATTCAACGCAGGGAAACAAATTTTCTTGTGAAGGAAAATTAGAGTCGTAGATCAGCTTTATCATGGTACCCAGTTGTTGTTTAACTCTTTCATCTTTGTAGCTCGATTTTATTTCAGTAAGTTCAACTAAAACTACAAAAAAATCCAAATCAACTCTTTGGTGAGTTTTAACAAAGTTCAGATAAGTTTTCAGTGAATTTTCAGCAGGAGATCAGATCTGTTCAGCAATGAGTTCTCAGTACAAAGTTCGGATAAGTTTTCAGCGAGTTTTCAACAGAAAGTTCAGAGTCAGTAAAACCAGTTTTCATGCAGTTTTACACTAACTGATAAAATATTGATTTTAACAAGTTCAATACATGATCAGTGAATCTAGTTCCCTGTTAGTGAGCTCAGTTGTAGCCTCGTTGGATTCCTCCCAAATTTAGTTTAGTAAGTTCAGTGAGTTCTGTTTCGTCTCAGAAAATTCATTTTAATGTGACGAGTTTATTTCAGACCTTGTGAAAATAGCGAATCTCAACTAATTTATATCCAATTAAGTGAATCCAGCTCGATCTTAGTAAGTCCGAATCAGTCTTAGTGAACTCCACTTAGTTTCCAGTGAATTCAACCCAGTATTGGTAAGCTCGGATCAACTTAAGTGGGTTCCGTTTTCAGTTTCAATAAGTCCGGACTCAGTGGACTCAATCATGGCCTGAGTTTACTCTCAGCGGATCCTATTATGATGAGACATAATGTTGGTCACAACGGGTAGTCCTGGCGACAGCAGCGGCGGTA